GTTGTGGAATGAATGAAAGTACCATGAGGGAAGCAGAAGCTGTGTTTCATATAAAAGGGAAGGGGCGTCACCATCAGATCCGAGGATGCTCTTCTCTGACGAGAGCAAGTGATCAGACTCTGATCCACGGCGAGGGTCTCCCATAGACCCAGTAGTGTTTCTGGGGTGAGATCTAAGCTCATTGGGTGACAGGGTGCATATCTACATGCCTGTGTGTGCACACACAGGCACTCCCCACATCCTCCGATCAAGTAGTTTGTGCTGTACTACTCTTTTTAAGATTTTGTTTATTTGAAAGGCAGAGTTAAGAGAGAGGCCTTCCATTTGCTGGTTTACTCCCCAAATGGCTGCAATGGCTGGGGCGAGGTCAGGCTGAAGCCAGGAGGCAGAAGTTTCATTCGGGTCTCCCACATGGGTACAGGGGCCCAAGCTCTTGGGCTGTACTCCGCTGCTTTTCCACTCAAGTTAGCAGGGAGCGGCTTTACCTGCTACGCCACGATGCCAGAACAGCGCTATACTATTAAAGACTATGGCTACATATAAAATGGAGCCACTGGTGTTATTTGGTTAATAAGTGTAAAGATTCAAAGAGAGAGGTAAAGGTTCCCAGAGCAAATGGGTGTGGTTTGCATAAGGAGGAATGACAGGTGGGGCATGATCCAAGGGAGAGTTAACGTAGAAATAGCTCAGCTGAGGAGAGAGACATGTTGAGGTACAGTGGAGAACAGGGTGGCATAGGCTGGGGGGAGACCACATTTTAGAGGGGGAGCTGTTAGGAAATAAATAGTCATAGAGGTTTAGGTCAATGTAACTGGCATAGAGAAGCCATAACTTCTGGACAGAGAAAGTAATTAGCTGGGGGCTGCATGCTGAGAATACTTGGTAGCAGCAGCAGGGGGCAGCTGTCCTGCAGGAGCCAGAAGAGGAAGCACACAGCTCCCTAGGACTGGAATCTCTGTACCGCTCTGAGTCCCATGGATGCTTTGGCAGGGGAAAAAAAAAAGGCAGTGGATGAAAGAAAATGCGTTTGTTTTAGATCTCACCCTTAAGAGGGTGTGGAGAGGTCAGAGAGACCGAGCCTGCAAGCATCCACCATCCTTCCCGTGCTCCTGCTCAGCGTTGAGTGTGCTTTGCGTTTCTCTAGACCCCTGTGGAATCTGTGCTAATACGAAGGCAGAAAACAGGAGTGTCTCCTCCTCGGGAATGGGCTTAGGTGTCGATGTCATGAAACTTAGTCTAGCTACTGGCTTCTCAGAGAACCAAAGGCTGCCGAGAGGTGCACATTCTTGAGTGTCTCGGGTCTTTGTTAGCAGTTGACGTGGTGGGCTATGGAGCAGGAAGTAGAGCAGGGGAAGAGGGGAATGGTAGATCCCAGTCTCTTTGAAGGCAGGTGTGTGGTCTTCGTGATTGTGTTTCAAGCCTCTTGTACAAACATGTGTTGGATAAATGCTGGGTGCGCAAGTAGCATGTTTCCCTGTCTTGTTGACGAATGACATGCATTGACAGCCAAGTATTTATTAAAATGTTAATCCCCCTCTTGCCCCCTGTTTCTTCTACCTGTTTTTTTGTGAGTTGCTGGTGATGTGACTCACCATGACCGTTTAAAGCTCATGGAATATTTACTGAGATGCCCAGCACAATGTCAGGTAAAGGGACCACCGGTGTTGAAACTGCCAAGTTCTGCTTACAGACTGAGACAGGCATGGGCTTGGCTATTTAGAGGGATGAGAACTTAATGGCCACATCTGTTCCTGTAGTGTTAGATCTTCGTCTAAAGTCCATGGCTAATGCTTTTCTGCACGTGGAATATGGACTAGTAAGTGTTTAAGAGTTCATCTCCCCCAGTGTGTTTGCACATAAAAACATACCCACACCACAGACAGGCTTTTGACTGTTTCTCTGCTCCCCAGTGCAGTGTGTGTAGGTCTGTGAATGCTTTTGTCTATCGGTTTGTGTGTTCCTTTGTCGCTGTTTTGGCTGTTGTGCTCTTGAGATCCATATTTTATCTTGAGATCCATTGCTCCTGCAAAGGATATGATAGGTCTTGGCACGTAATATGAACCCAATAAATATTTGCTGAGGAATTATTAAATGAATACCATGTTCAGAGGACAGGAATGGCTACAACTTGGAGACTACACAGTCTTTGTGCTCAAGATTTAACTGAGAAACTAAGTCTATAGTCTTGAAATAAATTGTTACAAAGAACATAAGAACAAACGCCTATAAATTAACTATATCAGTAGTAAGTAGATTAATAGACATCATAACAGTAATCCTAGCTAACATTCAGGGTGCTGTGTGTCTTGTGTGTATCTCGTTCAGTGGTTTTACAACTCTGCGTGCTGCTATTATGTGTACTCGTTTTGCAGTTGAGAAGTTCAGTGACTTGTGTGATAGGAGTGATCTCACACAGTGAGCACCAGGTGCGGCTGGGGCTTAGCAACGAAAACTCGCCGGAGGTGACAGGCTGAGCCACGGCCTGCCCCTGGCTGACACACACAGGCTGGTCACAAGTGACCCTGACCGCTGGCCTGCCCTGGGAGGGGTGCTGACCTGAGAGGCAGTTGTGTTGAGGGTCTGGCTGGTGAACGCTATTCCCAGAGAATGTGCGAGAGTGATCCGTAGGAGCCTTTGCGTCCAGTTCTCAGCACGTGACAGACTCGAGCCTTTCAAGGAGAAAGCCTGCCGTCGCGCAGCGAGCTCGAGTGGAACTGCACGCACTACAGACTTCAGATCTTGAAAGAGCTCAAGGAAGTGCCCGATAGGAAGTACCTGTTGTGAAAGAGAGTGAGTGTGTCGATCAATGAGCTGAGTTTGTCAGCATCAAGTGCCAGCTCTGTGCCAGCGACTGCTGTAGCTAGTCTCCTGGGTACTGTGCAATGGACAAGCAGGCGTGTCCCTTAAGAATTCCCAGTGTATGGGGAAACACTCTGAAGAGCTTTGTCTATTTCGTTGTATCCCACAGTTTTCCCACACACATTTGAAGAGTACACTGTTGGGTGGTATATTGACTTAAAATTTTCACCTATGAACAAACTTCACTTTTTGAAAATGGTAACAAAAAGCATTAGAAGAAAACAATCCATTGAAAGTAAAAACTCAGCAGATCGGCTGGTTCTGTCAGAAGAGGTGAGTGGAAAAGCTTCTGTGTTTGCCCAAGAAAGAATTCAGAGGTGAGACAGAGATGCGTGGTCAGCACGCTAGCAGGGCTTAGAGGTGAGACAGAGATGCGTGGTCGGCACGCTAGCAGGGCTTGATGGTGAGGGCAGCCGCCAGAGGGATGGGCACATCTCCAGCAGAAGCCGAGAGAGCACGCCCAGCCTTTCAGGCTGAGGACAGAAGGTTACTTAGATTAATGGAGAGGATCACCGGGCGGCCAGGTGGGCATCTCAGGGAAGTGAATACAGCCTGGGCGTAGGAGGGAACTTTGTCCAGTTCTTGTCACTGTTTCTTCCCTTCCTCCTGGACAAAGGGTTTGTGAAGTAGGTAAGATTCCTCCTAAGATTTTATCACCCAGTGTTATCAGACTGGGCAGCTCTCTTGGCACCGGACGGAGGAGGTTCCCCTGGGTGCCTTCCTTGGGGGGAGGCTGGGGCCACCTGTGAAGTCCCTGGGGTGTGGTCAGGACTTTGTCCTGTGAAATACCGGGCTGCTTCCGAGGGGAGCTGCCCAGCTTCTGTCCAGGCCCCTCACACAAGGCATTTCTGACTTCCTCTCTGACAGACGAGGGACAGTACGGCCCAAAGCATGCTCCTTAAGTCTCCTGGAGGGACTCTGTCCTTGGAGGGAAAGCAGGTGGCTTCTGTGTGACTGACACTTTGTTCTTTCTGATCAAGCATTGGTTGAAAGCATCAAACAGTGCGGAGTCCGGAAGCTGCCTGGCTTCCCTCTCCCCACGTCCTCTGCCCAGGCTCAGTATCTGCCTCTCTTCTTCCTGCTGGAGTTGACTTTCCTGCCCCTGCTTCCTCTGTTTTCCTCTTCTGCGCCCTTAAGTGGCCCTCCAGCACCTGGAGTGGACTTGTCCAGGTCCACTCGTCTGCCCCCCTCCTCTCCTGTGTGAAGTGTTCCAGGAAGGCAGCAGCTGCTCATGGCTGTAATAGTCAGTGACAAGCTCACTCTGTGTGAAATCCCGTGGGTCTTCTGCTGCACCCCCCACTCCTCTCCACAAAACCACTCTGTTCATGGCATGCTGAATTATCTAGATCTCATTTCAGAGGTGTGATTTCACTTTTTTATGCAATCAGTTAACATTCTAATTAATTGACTTCATATGCATTAATGAGGATTTAAAATGTAAAACTTAATGTTTTAACCCACTGCTCAAGTTTTCTCACAAAATGAAACAGTTAAGTATTACCCAGAAGAAACGACACCTACACAGGCATCTTGCTTTGGTCTGTAAAACCTCCCAGGACGCTCTCTTCTCTCAACAATGAACTGGAACACTTACCGCAAGGCATGAGTCAGAAAGAGAGAAAGAAAGGAATTACCTTAGGGATCCCTGGAAGAATCATGGTGGTCTTTGTTTCCCCCTTCCCTGGGGCTGTCTTCCTAGGGGAGCTTCCCCCTTCCTCGGGGCTGTCTTCCTAGGGGAGCTGGGCTGCAGCCAAGGGGTCCCCCGAGGATCCTCGCCTTCCTCTCACGTACCTGGGGCAGCAGCTTGGTTTTCACAGTTGTCGCTGCAGGAGAGGGAGGAACCCATCGCTGATGAGTGAGGACCAGAGCTGGCGGCAGTCCCTGTAGGACTCCCCTTCCTGGCGAGGCCCCTGGAAGACCCCAGCACCCCCACCCACCTGGTGGCCAGCCCACTGGCAGTTCCTGCTGACAGGCGGTATGAGCCCCTGAGGGAGGGAAAAGGCTGGAGAGAAGTGCAGATGGAGGAGAGCTGAGCAAGCCAGGGCTTTTACCTGTCTCTTCTTCTCTGAACTGAATTCCTTAGCGGCATTTGAACATTTGGGAGCTCCCCTTTCTCTGCCTTCAGTCCGTTTCTAATTTGCTGTCTATTAGCTGACGGCCTAAGAAGAGTGTCTTTCAGCAGAGGGGGCCAGCTCCTGAGACCTTCAGAGCAGGCGTCCAGGGGGGGCCCTGGTTCAGGTGCTACATGAATCATACCTGAATCAACTTGCTGAGGCTTCCTCCCCTGCCAAGGCACCTTGAAGCAGTCCAAGCCCGGGTCCTTTCCTCTTTAGCAAGAGAAAGTGAAAAATGACTGCAAAAGTTCCATCTGATAAACACCATAAAGTGTGTCCTCACTTGTCTCTGAAACTGAAGGGCTTTAAGCAGAGACAGGATGCTGATTTCCTGGTCCTAATAGGCTTGTGTTTGTGATGATTGTTCTTTGCCAGGGAAACAAAAACAAAGTGGGTGACTTCTGACTGTTCTTAGGTTTGCCAGACTTTTTTGTTTGTTTGCTGTATGGTTCAAAAAAGCACTTTTTGTTGTTGTTTCAGTTCCTAGGGCGCAGAAATGGCATGACTCTTGACTGATGCCCCTTGCATGAGATTTATGGCGTAGGGGTGTGGAAGTGGTGGGGACTTAGTTATCGGCAGGATTTGCAGGCTTCCCGGGAGTCCTGTAGTTGTCAAACCAGCTCTAGTGAGGGGGTTGGTTGCGGTGTGCGCCGCTGGCAACAGTGTTTTAGGTTTCTCTCTGCCACATAAGCCCCTTCCTTTTACAGTAATAGCACGATGGTCCTGCTCAGGGGTGGCTCGAGACTGTGAGTACCAAAAGGCAAGTGCCATCCTGCTCTGATCTCCCTCCAGTCTGCCTCCCAAGTGGTGAAACAGGAAGCAGCGTCCCATCAGGAAGAACCTGAAAGTGCCATCCAGTAGCTTTGTCTCACGTCACTGATTGCCCTCAGTCAGAAATCCTGACTTGCAACTTTGCAGGGTGGGTCTCTGAAAAAAAATTCACATAATGAGGTGTGTGCTGAGAACAGAGCTGCACACACCTCTGACTGCTCTCGCAGCAAGGGACGCCTTTTGTGGACTGACAGTTCGGAAAGGTAGGTGCCCTCTCTTCATCTGGTGGATGTTGTTAGTACTTGAGAACTTTCTGAACACGCTGGCCTCGGTGCTGTGTGTGTGTGTGTGTGTGTGTGTGTATGTATGAGAGAGCAACAAAATGAAAATGCTCATTTTTGTGGTGTTGTTTGGGAAAAGATACTTCAAAGAGATACCAAAGTGCTTGATAGCGAAGCCCTAATTTTTTGGCACACTGAATCCAAACTTCTGCTTGTGACGGCTCCCGCTTACCCTTTGGCAAGTACAAGCTGCTTCGCTGATGTGTTAGGAGGAATGGTTTACATGGTGAAATCACACACGGCACTCAGCAGGGCTGGGTTAATCAGGAAAGCCCTGACTCAAGGGTGAAACCCAAAGGATGACCACAGATCTTGGCTGGGTGGCCGTGCTAAGTCCCCTTCGAGCCTTTCAGAGCAAGGGCACGGCTTGCTTCCAAGACAGGCCGTGCTAGGCTGGTTCTGTCTGGGCGTCCAGTGTTCAGTGCTATCCCCGGAAGAAATTAGCTGATTAGTTGCAAAGCTGCCAGCCTGCTGTAAATAAGGCAGAGCAAAGCTTTGTTTTTCCTAATCCAAGCAAATGTTTAGTAAGGATGTTATTTTAATCATTTTTATTTTCTCAGAATCTTTATACTGTGCTAGGGGAAAAAACACTGGATTCCCCAGTTGGTGAATACTAATTTCTTCATTCATCTGTATCATCAGGTGCCTTCTCTGTTAGGCCCAAGGGTCCAGTCTTAAAACTCTACCTTTTCATTGCCCTCCCTCAGTTAACCTATTTTTAAAGGAGTTTCCGCCTAGAATTGCTGGCCAAAGAGGCAAATTCTTTAAAGAGACAATAGCCATATGTTTATACAGTTAATAGTTGTGCAGTCTTCCCATTAAAAATGTTCTGCTTGTTTCTAAAATAGCTATCAAGTTAATTTACATAAGCTTGAAGATAATTCTCCGCTACTATCCATTTACATTTATCTGTAATCTATTATGCATAATTTATTAGTTGTAGCCTGTATTTATTATATACAGTCCTTGCCATGTGCATATGCATTTTTCTGTTTACTTTTAAAGAGCTGGGGTTCCTAATAGGCAGTTTTCAGGTGAGGAGATGCAGGCCTGGCGAGACTTGCAGTGGCGCAGCAGGGAGGTGGGGACGCCGACACCTGGCCGCGTGTGTGCGTTCCGAGACATTCGCTGTGAGCTCCTCGAATCCCCGTCCCCTCCACTGACCCTTCAAGGGTCCCGTCACGTGGAGGAGTTTCTGCACCGTGATGCTGAGGTCGATCTGCAGTTTGCTCCCACTATTGGGGTGAACACTTCATGCACTGGGCAGAACATGGACCAAAAAGATTCAAATGTGAATCCCTGCCTCTCCCTTCCTGGTTGTGACCTAGGCAAGTCCGTGAAATTCTGCAGACCTCAGCTCCCTTACTTATAAACCACTGTAATGTCAGTCACACAGGGTGGGTTTCTGTACGGAACAGGAAGACAAGGCATGCCGAGTGCTTTCTGCCTGACCTGACAGATGGCAGGCTCTGGATAAGTGACACCCTCCCTCCTGTTTGCAGTGATTTGCTAATACTTTTTGGCATGCTGGGTCCTGTTGTGGACACAGGGCTTTCAGCAGTGATCAGGGTAGACAGGTCCTGCCCTCATGGAGCTTGCTTTCCATGGGTATTGGTTTGTATCAGCGTGGGGCTTTCTTTGGAATCACTTTCTGTTTACTGAGATCCGCTTTTCTTCCTCTGCTCCGACTGGGAGACAGCCTCTGGGGCAGTGAATGAACCATGTGCTAATGATTGCAGAATACAAGGCCAGAGGATCACACAGCTGGTGTGAGTGTTCCCGGTCCACAAAGTCATAGCAGAAGCATTGCCAGGAGCTGGCAGATGGCGCGAGGGAGAAGGGTGCTCACTCTTCTTACAGGATGCAGAGGGTGGCATTACTGCCTGCACTTACTGTGGGCCCTAGACCATCCACACAACCACGCTGGGCTGGCCAGGGCCTCTCCACTGTGAGTCGAGAGGTGCAGGAGATGGACCTAGAGATGTACGCTTTTACAAAGGTGGATTTGAGATGAGTGCCAAAAGCCTAGAGTCAAGTTCATTGGCTAGGCCAGCTGGCATCTCGAATGGGGTTTCTGTCAATCTGTCCTAACTTTGAATCCTGAAGAACGGAAGGTGAAGGCAGAGATGGGTCAGGGGAATACAGGGAAGCTCCCTCTGGAGCCAAGTGCAGTTGTATTCTCCCGGAAACCCCTCCACACCCAGTGCCCTGATCTCGCTGGATGTGTATCACCTGTTTGTGGTTTTCTTTACTGGAGGACCCAGGAAGATGGAAGTCTGCAGGAGCCCTAGACAGCCCAGACAACTGACAGACGGATGAAAGCAGTCTAAAGTAGCAGCGTTTCTTTTCCTAAGTCCTGTGTAACAGTCCCATCATTTTATAGCCACACCATATATGTTGCCTTAAGCCTTATCCTTACTGCTGGAATTCTAAATGTTGAAAACATAAATTAAGCTAAAAGCCTAATTTAAATAAATAAACAAACAACTAAAAATGACATACAGAAACTGCAGCTGGCATGGTGAGAATGGAGAGGTTGACTCTGGCCTTGGGTGGCACTGTGAAGCCAGTATTCTCCATCACAAGTTTTGATGATGGTGGACAGATGGTCAGTTTTCAGTGGGCTTCAGTGATCACTGTGTTTCTAAAACAGTTAAATTATTTTCAAAATCCATCATTATCAGACCTTAAAGTCTGAGAAAATTCCTGCATAAATGGAAGGTAGTTTGAGTGAGAAGGGAAATTGGCTTGAGTGACCTTGGGACAGATCTCATCTTTTGGGTGAGGAATTGTAATTCCTCAAGTTGTGAGTATGTATGTACTACTCAGACACGCACTGGAAGGGCTTGGGGATGGATGGATAACCATTTCTTCATATTCTGACCTAGCTGGTCACTGAGAAGTTTGGGGAAAGGCTCTGTGCTGGGGTTTGGTTTATAGAAGTTCCAACTTAATGGAAAATGCTGGGAAACTGAGATATTTAACCAAAATACCCAAATTCCTCTGCTCGGGATTGCTAAGCATATGCCCAGATCTGTGTGCCTGCGTACTATGGTAAAACTATAAAATTCACAGCATAGGAATTATATTTAGTTTTTATTAAGAAATAAAATATTATGCTAAGAGGTTTTATTAAGACAAATATTTATTTGAAAGGCAGAGTTACAGAGAGGCAGGGGCAGAGAGAGAGAGAGAGAGAGAAAGGTCTTCCATCTGTTGGTTCATTCCCCAAATGACTGCAAGGGCCAGAGATGGGCCAATCTGAAACCAGGAGCCAAGAGTTTCTTCTGGGTCTCTCACACGGTGCAGCCCAAGGATTTGAGCTGTCCTCCACTGCTTTCCCAGGCCATAGCAGAGAGCTGGATTGGAAATGGAACAGCCGGGACATGAACCGGTGTCCATATGGGATGCTGACTCTGCAGGCGGCAGCTTTACCCACTACACCACAGTACCAACTCCACATTAAGAGGTTTTAAATTATTTTATTTACTTATTCATATTCACAAATGAAGTACTTAGTGATGAAAAAATCATGCAATAATACGTTTTATTCTCTATGGAGTATGTGTAAGCTGAAACTAGGCTGTTTGTGTTATTTTTATTCTTTTTCCAGAAATATTTTATTGGATAGTCAATAAATCCTTGTTGAATAGATTGATCTTGACAAGGCTGAACAATAACTAATCGTTTCAAGATTCAAGCAAAGCAATCTGAGAACATTTCATTCAGTAATGAAGGTTATTTGACATCATTTAATAACTAAATTGGCTTCAATTTCTTCCCTTCAAAGTTTGTTTTCTTGTTTGACATATGACTAGAACCTTGAAAACATACCGTATGCTGATGCTAGACAGTCTTAAAGTGTGCAGGGTAACAGTTTTTATTTGTACGTTTATGTGATTGCAGTGATTACGTCATTGCCATGTTCTGTTCTGGGTCGCAGTTGCAGGGTCTTGTGATAAGCCCCTCCTGTTCCGCTAGCTGTCGCTGGCTTTTCCTCGCTGGGCTCCAGCAGGGTCTGCTTTGTGTGGAATTCTGGTCTACATCCAGCTGTGCAAGAGGAAAGCTTCAGAGATTCTAAGGAACACACATAAATACACACACACACAATTTCCAGAAATAGTAGTTTCACACAGCAGTACTTGATATATAGTGATATTTTCTGTTCCATTCCATTCCAGTCGATACAATTTCTAGTCATGACCTACTAAATCAACTACAGAACTTAAAACAGGTACTACAGTCAGAGGCACAGTAAACTGATGGAAAGGACTATGAGATGCTAGAAGCACATGAGCTCGTCTGGACTGTTGATTATGAGAATGTGGGTGCTGTAGGAAAGCATGGACATGTGAATATCTGCATTGGAAAAAAGAAAATGGATTCTCGCCTCAAAATTTGTACAGATCTAAATACTAAATCTGGTTAACACGGGTAAGACCGGGTCACATCCAGTTCTGCACTGCAGGGCCGACCTTGTGGTATAGCAGGTTAAGCCGCTGCCTACATGCCAGCATCCCATATGAGCACCGGTTCAAGTACTGGCTGCCCTACTTCTACCCCAGCTCCCTGCTAATGTGCCTAGGAAAGCAGCAGAGGATGTTCCAAGTGCTTGGGCCCCTGCATCCTTTTGGGAGAAGCTCCTGGCTCCTGGCTGTTGTGGCCATTTGGGAGTGAACCAGCAGATGGAAGACCTGTCTCTCTCTATGTCTCCCTCATCCTCTGTAACTCTGCCTTTCAAATAAATAAAATAAATCTTAAAAAAAATAGATCTGAACCACACACTAAGGCAGCCACAAGCCATGTGTCTACTGAGCACTTGGAATGTGGCTCGTCCAATTAAGGTGTGCTTGACACGAAAAACACCATATTTCAAAAACTTTCTATAGAAAAATAATACAGAACACCTCATTAGTGATTTTATATTGATTATAGCTGCAGTGATATTTTGGATATATTGAGTTACATAAAATATGCATATTGTTAAAAATTAATCTTACTGTTAAAATGTGACTCATGGCCGGCGCCGCGGCTCACTAGGCTAATCCTCCGCCTAGCGGCGCCGGCACACCGGGTTCTAGTCCCGGTCGGGGCGCCGGATTCTGTCCCGGTTGCCCCTCTTCCAGGCCAGCCCTCTGCTGTGGCCAGGGAGTGCAGTGGAGGATGGCCCAGGTGCTTGGGCCCTGCACCCCATGGGAGACCAGGAAAAGCACCTGGCTCCTGGCTCCTGCCATCGGATCAGCGCGGTGCGCCGGCCACAGCAGCCATTGGAGGGTGAACCAACGGCAAAGGAAGACCTTTCTCTCTGTCTCTCTCTCTCACTGTCCACTCTGCCTGTCAAAAAAAATAAATAAATAAATGTGACTCATTATTTCCTACTGACCAGTGTTCTAGATGACAGAATAGAGTGCATTCATGGTCTCAGGGTAAGCAGTGATTTCTTAAACAAGATACAGAAAGTCCTGAAATGATGAAAAGATTTACAAGTTCTATTGTGTTAAAATTAAGAGCAACTGTTTCTCAAAGCATACCATTAAAAGAGCAAGAAGCAAGCTGCAGAGGGCAGAGGGAGCTTTTGCCATGTATGTAATCAACAAGGATAGCGCAAAACCTGGACTGAAATAGTGGGAAAATGGACAAGAGACTTGAATAGGTCCTCCATCAAAGAGCATCTTCAAATGGCTCACTCTCACTAGCTACTGGGGGGATGCAGATTAAATCACAGCCAAGGACCACTACACATCCATCAGAAAGACCAAAATTTAAAAGACCGACGATATAGGTGTTGGCAAATGTTTTAAGCAACTGGAATTCTCACGTGTTGTTGTGGGAGTGGACATTGGCACAATGTCTCTGGAAAACTGTTCCGCAGCATCCGTTAGACCTGACTATGCCTGTGACTTCTGACTACCAGCTGTATGCCCTGCAGAAGCGCATACATGGGTCTGCGGAGAGCTGCATCGGAAGTGGAGCAGCCAGGATTGGAGCCAGCACCCATATGGGATGCCAGCTCCACAGGCGGAGGCTTAGCCCACTACGTCACAGTGCAGGTCTGATGACCTTATTCAACTTATTCTGATGTTGAAGATGTAATTCAAAAGGAGAAATCTTGGTGACCTAAGGAGTTCCAGAGTTGAATGCCTTAGGAAGCCAGATAGTAGTGGAAGTTAGGCAGGTTAGTAAATGTATGCTCCACTGAAGGTCTGCAGCTCCAGTGATGGTCTTAAGATGTTTCAAGCTAAGTTGTGAAAATCCCTGACTTTTATGTGTTGGCTTGCGTTATCCTAACCCATTGTGCATGTCAAACCAAACGAAGTATAGGCCCAGTTTGACTGGCTCCACTATCGGATTCTAACTCTGACTTCATGTTTTAGAGCTAGAAGGAATCTTACAGGTATAATTGCATAGCGTATTAATTATGTTTTTCTTTTTTGCTTCTGCAGGGATGTTGTGAAGGTCAACCAACATTTTAATATATATATATATATATATACGCACAAATATCAAAAAGCTATCAAATAACACTCAAGGTAATCATCGTTATTTATGTATTATTTTATTTATTATTTACATTTTCCTCTATTGTGTTCTCTTAGCTGTAACCTGGAAGAATTGTGTCCATGACACAAGACTGATTATATGGCATTCTCTTCCACGTTCTGGGCGGGGGTGGTGTTTGACCAAGGTGACCGCTGTGTTCCTCTCTCTGAAGTGCTGTAGACACTGGGAAGGTGGCACTGGGCAGCACAGGTGGCACGGAGCCTCACCATCCTCCCTGGTCTTTGCCAGCCATATTTTCTGATAGAAATAAATCTAGGAAATAAAGTAAAAAGAAATTTTAAGAAGAAGGCTTAGGACCCCCAGACCTTACCTCAAGATCAGCAGGGGAGTAACCAGAATATCCTGCTGGTGCAAATGACTGATGCCCCCAGCCGGGAAAGGGGTGAGCATGTGCCAGCGGGGCATCGAGCCAGGAAACGCCGTGCAGGGCATCGGGTGCTTCAAAAGGTCCACAGAAAAGTGAAGTTAAAAGTATGAGTTTATTTTGGTGCAAAATTAATTTTTCATAAAAATTGGAATGGAAAATGAATATTATGAAAAAGCTGTGCATGAATTTCAAAAATGTCTTTGCACCAAAAAAATGCTCATACTTTTGATTCCTTTTTTTCATGAATTTTTAAAAGTACCCTCATGCTAGCACAGCAGATTCTCTCCCTTACAGGAGCTGCTTCCTAATGGGCAGACATCAGAGGTGTGAAATAAGTTATATAAATGCTTATTGATGAAGGTTGAGGACACTCCTCCCTTTTTTTTGAAAGAATACGTATTTGAAGTCTGTATACTCGGGGAATTTTTTATTTTTAAATTATATGTTATATTTTCTTACAATATGTCCAGGATTTTTTCTGCCAGACGTGTTTGTAGGCAAAGTATCTCTGAATTGAAAGTCATAGATAGATTTAATCGTTAATGCAAAAGCAGTGCATTGAATCAATGAAATACATTCTGTATGTTCCACAGTCTGCAGACCAGCATACAGCTATTCATATCCAGCCTCTCTCCCCCCCGTCACCCCTACCGCCCTGTTTAACATCCGGATGTCACACATGTCTTTCTTTTAAGAGCTTTCTTGCACTAGGTAGGGTCTAGACAGGAATGATTGGCTCTTTTTGCTTTTGAGATGTTATGATTTGTTTTCTCTTGGTGAATATGCAGGCTGGTCTTGGGCAGAGGGGGCAGAGGAGTAGATGACCAGTCCCAGTTTGTTCGCTGGAGTAAACAGTGCTCCAGCAGGTGCTGATGCCAGTGACCTCTGGCCCGAGGGAAATCCGTGTCTTGTTCTGCCTTTTTGGATTCTCCAGAGCTCAGGAAGAGAGCAGTTGAGGTGTCGCTGGGGCTGTTTACCTGCACCTGTTTATCTGCACCCTTCGCCACCTCCCTATCCTCCCCTGTGGGTGCTCACCCGCCCCACCCTCTTCTGAAGATGGCGAGGAGCTTGGTCATCTTGTTCTCTTTCAAGGGTGCCACGTTCTGTGGGGGCAGCCTGCGGTGCAACAGGAAACCCTGCCTGTAGACGTTAAGTAAGCGTGTGTTTAAAAATATTGAAATCGGGGGCTTGCTTCATCAGTGTGCCTCCGTCACCACCAGGCTTCCCTAAAGGTGACTTGACTTCCTCTCGCCCTGTGGGCGCAGCAGGTGTTCCAGATTCCTGCCTAATTAAGACGGGCCTCACACCCTTCTCCAAGTCATCCTGTCTTTCATAAAATGGTGACACTGCCTGAGACGGGTCCCATGATGTAAGAAATTCTGCCACCCCGAGAGAAAGGTGACAGTCACCCTCACGACCTCCCTACCAGCTCCTGTCTTGGGCTACCTGAACGCTGATCATGGCCGTGTAGAGGACCAGGGAAGGGGGGCAGGAAGGCCCTGGTGCCTCTGCTGGGGAATGCACACGGTGCCTGCGGTTCCTGCAGCTTCTCAAGCACTTGTTAAGTGCCAGGCGTCACCCTTAGTGAACTGGACACGTGTCCTTATTGAATCTTGACCTACCCTCACAAGACAGTTCATAGTATACCTGTTTATAAATGAGGAAGCGAGGGTTAGAAAGCATCACTTGCCCTTTTTCACATAGCTGGGATGAAGACCGCGTTCAAAGCCTCACATCCCACTGCTCCCTGGGGATCTCGTTCAGCTCAGTGCTTTGCCTTCTGGTTGACACCAGCCTGGTACGGATTCTGTCCCACAGCTGGTAGGTCAGAAAGGTAAGGCTCCTGTGCTGATTGCCCCTAATCCCAGCACGGGGCTTTGTAGCAGGTGGAAAGAGCCCCACTTCCTCGGCGAGCAGACCTGGCGTCCAGGGGATGGAGCAGGCCGAGGTCACTCTGGACCCGCTAAGTGACAGGGCTGCCCCAGAGCACAGGTGTCCTGCAGCCCCTGGGCCTCGTGCGAGGGAGCTGCTGCAGGCCGTGTGTGAAGCCCTGCATTCCTTCTGTTGCTTGGCTTTTTTAGCTTTTTATTTCATTCATTTAACAGTGTCTGTGATGACCTTCCTGATGCCGTTTTAACAGAGGAAAGCCCCTGCTGCTCCCTGGGCGGCTCAGTCTCTGAATGGGAGAAGGAGAGAGAACGGGGTGACGCATCCCAGGGCCTCTGTGAGTCACCAGCAGCAGGTCCCCACCCCCTGCTTTTGCCTGAACCACTTACCTTGTGCCTGAGACTAATAACAGGGTCATCTGTGAAGCAAGGTGTGTGACTCACCTGGCAAGGGGCAGAGCCCGCAGAGAGCTGGGAAGTGTGGGGCAGGACGTGGGGGTTGGCAGCAAGCTATTTGGGCTAACATTTCCTAACACTGCAACACCACGGCCTAGCGACCCACCTACTGGTTTGCATTTGAGATGCTTGAAGTTAACAGGAAAAAGCCAAGGTGGGGGGAGGAGCTCTACCTTTGAAGGCAGAGTCGGGGATCCTGTGTGAGGTTCTCATTCTCCTAGTGTCTCTCCCAGTCACCTTGAACCCTAAGATTTGGGTTCCTCTAAGATGCACCTGCTCCCTGCCATGGCTCTCCACCCTTCTGCGGTTCTGCAGGTGTCTGTCCATGTCCTGGGATTGAAGGAAGCCTCCCAACTCACGGCCTTTCGGGTCCTGAGCAGGGTTTGGTGACCTGTGGCAAGTGAGTGACTGGGACTATGAGCGCCAGAGAGTGGACACGGACGAGGGAGGGAGCATTGGGAAGAGCTACGCTGGGTGACCCCTGCCTCCTCCACTCCTGTGCTGTCCTGCTTGTACCCCTCCCCCCAAATCTAAAGTCAGCCTTCAGGGAGGTGTCCATAGCCGTCTGCTTGTGGACTAAGGAAGCACGCTTGGCGTTTTCTCTGACATGATTAAAACACAGAGGAGTCCAGCAGTTGGCTGTTGTGTAGAAAGGTCGTGAGAAGCTTTTATGTGTGTGTGCAGATTGTGCCTTACTTGAAAGCAGCCATTATAGTGTCTGTATGAAACATTTACTGTGCGAAGTTAGCCTCTTTAGAAATACTAACGTGAAATAAAGCACCTTAGTAACACCTTCCAGCCAGAAGAATATGGGTGTGTATGACTTTCCCAGATTGATTCCCAAAAACAATTTTATTTCTCCGGGTCTCAGTTTCTTCACCTCTGTGGGGATGGACTAGATGTTGGATGATTATATATATTTTAAGATTTATTTATTTGAAAGTCCTTGTTACACAGAGAGGGAAGGTAGGAGAGAGAGAGAGAGAGAGAGAGAGAGAGAGATCTTCCATCTGCTGGTTCACTCCCCAATTGTCTGCAATGGCTGGAGCTATGCCGATCTGAAGCCAGGAGCCAGGAGCTTCCTCAGGGTCTCCCATGCAGGTGCAGGGGCCCAAGCACTTGGATCATCTTCTACTGCTTTCCCAGACCATAGCAGAGATCTAGATCAGAAGTAGAGCAGCTGGGACTTGAACAGGTGCCCATATGGGATGCTGACTCTGCAGGTGGCGGCT